AGAACAAGTGGCACCTCGCCTCCTGCGTGTCCCTGCAGAGCCCGGCATAATTAGACAGCCCCGAGCCGGCTCGGAAACCCGAAATCCCTGCTCCGGCGCTCGCCCACCGCAAAGTTGTTGAAACAGCCTTCACTCTATTTATTCTTCTCTCCCTGCTCTCGCTTCTCATCTTTTTTGGTCTTCCTCACACAAACATGCACACGCGCCCCCACAGGGTCCCTCTCGGGGTGCAAGTTCATCGCCTCCCACCTGGGTCCCACAAGCGCCTGGCGCCGCGCGGAGCTTCGGACCCCGCCCGCCGGGGACTCGGAACCCGGGGCACACGGTTTCGGCCTCCGGGAAAGTGAACGCCGGAGCCTCTGGCCACAATCTGGGCTGGACAATCCACTCTGGGAGGCTTACGGGGCCTCAGTTTCACCTCCCCCGCCACCGGCTCGCAAACGGACCCCCAGCCCTGAAAACAAAGCGACTGGTCGGACATGGAGTATCCGCGCCCCGCGCCACGCAGGACAGGAGTCCCCAGAGAAGCATCCGTCCCCTTGGGATATCACCCCGTGCCCCATCCACGGGGTGGGGGAGGGAGGGCCAAAAGGGAGGACCCGGGAAAGGGGAAAGATTTAAAATAGTCTCCAGAAAAGAGAGGAGGAAGGGGACGCGTGACACATTTTTCACATAAACCCAGGTTCTGATTTCAAGTGAAGACCCTCGCCGCTGCGCCCGCACAGACATCTACGCTTGACATTCCCAGCTCCAAAAGCCAAAAGGAAAGAAAGAAAAGAGAAAAGAAAAAACAGTGAAAGCCGGGACTGTCACCTATTTACTTAGGTAATCTCCGGTCGCGGCCCTCTCCCCATCCCCCTCCCATGACTCATCCGCTCCTTTTAGCGGGGGTTGTAAGGGGGTTGAGGCAGCGGCCGCCAGGCCTGTTCCCAGCGCCTCCCGCCGGCTGCCCCAAGAAGCCGAGCTCCGGGGACTCTGGATTTTAAAATGGGCTCCGTCGCGGCGCGCTCTATCGGCCTGGCAGGCTCCCCGCACCAGAGGTTGTGGGCAGCCCCGCCAGGATTCCCACGGTCACGCAGCCGAGTGCCCGGCGGCTGCAGGACAGATGCGGAGGAATCGGTCGGCCAGCAGGCTCCGAGCAGTGCACCCTCCCACCCCCACCCCGGGGATGCGCCTACCAAGTGGCTCAGGGAGAAGCTGCCAGAACTTCCTAAACAACACAGAGTACCTGGGACGAGCTCGGTCGCAGTTTGTGGGATAAGTGCTCCCAAACTGAACCCGCTCTCTGGGAGGTGCAACTCAGTTCAGAGCGAAGTGTGCGAGCCCCTTCTCCAGATACGGAAAAAAAAAAAGCCTTTTAGAAAACGTTGGGTGGGGGGACGGTAGGAAGGAAAGAATGAATAAATAAAAAAGGAATATTAAAGATCAGAGACAAAGTTAAAGAAGGAAAAGGGTTTTCTCTTTCCTGGTGATGTGGGCCCTCACAAGCTCGTTGGAGAGACACGCAGAGTGCACAGACGCGTGCCCACTTGCCAGCAATTGCTTCAAAAGCCCACTCTCGTCTCTCTTAGCTCTACTCTTAGGCACAGTCTCAACTGGTCCGAAAGAAAAGGGGGAAAGTGGGACAGGGGGTTTGAAGGAGGGAAATGAAAGAAGGGAACGTCCTCATCCTCCCTCTCCAGCTTCTCCCCTGCGTTCTTCGGGCGAATCGGAGAGGCGGACGCAGCGCGGGGCAAAGTTTGTCCCACCCGCATTTCGCAGCTGGCTGCGAGGAGAGGAGGAGGAGCGGGAAGTAGAGCTCGGAGCCTGCGGCCGCGAGGATGACTGAGCCAGCGCCGCGCTTACCTCGCAGTCCTCGTACTTGATATTATCCGTCAGTTTCCAAAGCATTTTCATGGATCGGCGTGAATGGATTTGCCCCCTCTCCGCCTCGCACCCAAGTGGAGCTACTCTGGGTGAGCGCAAAGTGCCGGCTGCGGGCGGTGAGCGCAGGAGGAGGAGGAGGGCGAGGAGGAGGAGGAGGGCAAAAAAGGAGGAGGAGGAGGAGGGCGAGGAGGAGGAGGAGGAGGGTGAGGAGGAGGAGGCGAGAAGGGAAAGAGCTCCCGTGTGTGCTCAGAGATCTCCCTCTAATGGTAGAAACTTTTCCCTTTTCCTGCTCTTTACCAACAGCCTAATCGCCTCATTAGCATATCAACAATAGTCCAATTGCTCGCCAGCACCACAATCTGCCGCCGGCCGCTCAGACCCAGGTATAAAGGCCTCTCCGAGCCGCGAACTTACTCCTAGAGCGCACGCCTGCCGGTGAGCCCACGAAATCTCCCCTGAGCCTCGCCGCGCGCCTCTGCCCAGCGCCCCCGCCCCCAGGCCACCTCTCCTCTCCGTCTCCTCCTCGCCGGAGATGCCCCGGCAAAAGCCCGGAGCTGAACAGGTTCCGAGCGGCCGCACCTGGGACCCGACTATCAGCACCTCTCCCCCATCCCTGCCTCCATAAGCGACTCTGTCCTTCCGGCCCCGTCCAATTTTATTAGAAATTATCCCTTTCGCAATTAAACATAACCACCACACCGAGACCAACGAAGTCACTCCAGGATTTTTGCCCAACAAGGGATCGCCTCCGCTCGCGGCAGCCGACACCTCCGGCCGCAGCTCCCTGGGAGTTTTTATTGGCTTCACTCTTTCCCCCCAGGTTGGATATTTTGCCAAACGGCTTCAGTGGCTCGGCTGGGGTTTGCGATCCTTTAATTGCTGCGTGTAAAATAAAAGGTGTACCCTGAAGAGGTTACTTGACAGCTCCAGGTGTTAAATGAGTTTCCTCTCATTTGTATGAAGGTAGGGCCGCCTGATAATTCAACGTGGTACTTGGGCTAAGGGTTTCCTAGGTGCAACGTGGACAAGAATACAGAACTCCTATGGAGACTCACAGCCGCTTCTGGAGTTGAGCCGAAATACCGACGTGTGTGCGCCATATCATGCATGCATCAAAATAAATCGCTGGGAACCAACCCTTCGCTGTGTTAATCTGCTCCAGTTTTCCCAAGATTCCCCTTTTTAATTAAAGCAGGGAGAGTTCCTTCATGATTTGGTGCTGTTACTAACGCGGGCGCGCTCGCGGCGCAGTGCCCGGCTGGCGCGGAACCCCGAGGCCTGGGAGCCGCCCCCCGGTCCAGATCCGCCAGTCCAGGCTCTCCCGCTCCACTCAGGGGCCTGCTCGCCCCACCGGGGCATTATATATTTTTCTTCTGTAAAACAGAATTTTTTTAAGAAAGAAAAAAAAGATGTGATGTGATGTGATCCTTGGAAATACAGAGTAATTGATTTCTCCGGCTGAATGTCCTCATTTTTTTCTCCGTAAAAACATTCCTTCTTCCTCTAAATACTGCAAACTCCCCAGCAACAGTAGGTCTCGCCTCAGAGGTGCTCTAGTAAGGACTTCTGACTCCGTCTGGGCCTGTTTCTTGCAACTCTCCAGGCCTCCCAGGTTTCTACAGTGCGTCCACGCAGTGGGTAGGGGCTGCTGCATACCGGAGCATTCCCTAACAGGTGGAAGGAAGGCGAGAGGAGGGGGGGACCCTCCCCCTCCCAAGCTGCCGAAAGGCGATTCTCCCTCCAAGAGACCACAGCAAATTCCCCAAGCCAGGCAAGAGTAGGCCGGAGGCCCTCCAAAAAAGTTAGGAAGAAGACCAGAGCTAAGAGGGGGATTTAGAACCGGAGGGCCGGCGAGCCCTGGGAGCTCCCCTACACTCCCTTTCCCCACCTAGACACCCGCACAGTCCCTTGGCTGAACCTAGCCCGAGGCTAGGCGCCGCACTCCGCCTGCAAAATGGTAAACTTCCAGCGCTGGCGCCGCGCACCCCGCGGGGCTGCCCAGGGGCCGCCGCCCAACGCAGCGGCTTGAAGTCGGGAGGTGGGCCCCCTGCGGGACCGATACCCTCCCAGTGGCGCCCGCAAGCCCCAGAGCGTGATCTGTAGGCCAAACTCTAGGCCTGAGAGCCTGGGACTTTACACCCCCAGACGTCGTCACAGTGTGCTTGGGAGAAAACTCTTAAGTTTCGCTTTCTTCCTATTTGTGGGTTGGGGAAGGCATCTGAGGGCCTTCACCTTCTCCACCCCCTCCCCTTGCTGCCCCGAGCCCCGCAGATCTCCTGCTCCGCACCCGCCGGGGCTGCTGAACTGTTGTTGTTTTCCCGCCGAGGGCGCCTTTGAGGTGCAGATCGGGGCCTGCGGGCTCCGCGCCGCCTCCCGCGGTCCAGGCGGGCGACCCGGTTACCCCTGGAGCCAGCGGAGCCGCAGTAGAGTGAGCGTCATTGCATGTCAATGCTCCGGCCTCGCCGGGACCCCAGGACAGCAGCGCCAGGCCTGGGGGCAGGGTCGGGGGTCCAGGCCTGATGTGGGGGTGGAGAGGGCCTTGGGGACAGAGCGAGTATCTGTGTGAGAGAGACACGAAGAGAAACAAAGAGACAACGAGGGGGCAGAATGATTCTATTTTCTTTGGTTGTCACCACCCAGTGGGCCCCAGGAGCCCAACAGGCCAAGCCCGGAGGTTCCAGCCCCTCCAGGCCCCAAATCCGCCTGCTCCACCCGAGATCCAGGCTTCCCACCACTTGCCAAACTGTAAGCCCGCGAGATCCAGGCCCAGGATTCACGCCTGTCCCCTTCAGGCTGGAATCTTACTGCTTCCGAACCTCAGTCAGCCCACTGGAGGCCCGGACCCAGGCCGAGTCTGCGCTCCGGGCATTTTCTCACGTGGAAAAATTCTGCTGCAAAGTTCGCCTGGCTTGGGGAGAAAACCGAAACCCCTGCGTGGGAGAGCTCCCCCAGTCTTCACCCTCCAGGGAAGAAGGGCCCTGAGGTCCACAGGGACAAGAAAGGGAAAGATGTGGATTCCCAAGATTTGAGTTTGGTGTGGGATTTGCATCCTTAAACCACAAAGTCTAACTTTGGAGATGAAATTGCATTTACTTAGGTTGGACTGAAAGGAGGAATCTAAAAGAGCTCACGGTTGGTAAAAATAGTAAGTACAAGAAAAGAAAGAAATATCAGAAGACAACTTCCTTTCCCCAACTCCAGAGAGTGTAGTGACGACGGGACTCCTGAACTTTACTTCTCGTGGCCTAAATCTGAAACAAGCAAAAAAGAACTCGCCCCAGAAGTAACAGGGCCTCGACTTTTCCTTGGGAAAGTCAGGCGTTTGGTTCGAAAGGGTCCCCGGGTTTTTAGGAACCTAGAATCTTGCCCTAACCAGGCCTCTGCTTGGCAAGGGCGAAAAGAAAGCCCCGCGGTTCCCATTATGAAATCAGCGACGGGGAGAGGCTGCCATCCTCACCAAACTGGCTAGAGCCGCCCTGGTCCCTGTAGGGGAAATGTCTGGAAGGTGGAAAGAGAGCGCTGGACGAATGCTCCCATGGCCAGGATCTGGGTCCGGGATTCAGGGAGGGCAGGATCTGAGCCTCGCTGGCCTTGTGGTGCCTGCGGCCTAGCATGGCCAAGTTTGGGAGGCGTTGGTTTCAGCAAATTCTAGGCCTTCTGCCTCATCACTCACCACTCACCGCCCCCATCCAGTAACCCCCACCCGTAGCCCAAGCGGCGAAAACTAGCTTCAGGAAGAAGACTAAGTGAGAAGTTAAACTTTGTGCAAACTCTTTGAAGTATTCCCCGAAAAGAACACGTTCGTCGGCGCGACCCGTCCATTCGGACCCCTTTCCATTCTCTTCCACCCGGCAGGTCCCCAAAACTTGGAAACCCAAAGAGAGACAGGTGCACCAGAACCCCATCGCACGCGCAGCCCTGGCTGGAGTCTAGGGCAAGACCGGAGGCACAGCGAACAGGGAACCTTCCTCCCGGCGCACCGCACCCCCGCCCTGCGCCCTCCTCCCGACTGAATTAGTCATCCACCCCAGTTTCTACTTGGGGTGTTGGGGGGATGGCTGTGGCGCAAACCACAGGTGACCCCCGGGGCCACCTGTGGAGCGTGCGCCGGACTTTGCCCAGCGTCCTGCCCGCCGGCGGCGCGCGTGG